TGTATTTTTAGTAGGGACGGGGTTTCACCATCTTTGCCAGGCTGGTCTTGAACTCTTGAGCTCCACCTGCCTCTGTCTCCCAAAGTGCTGGGATTATAGGCGTGAGCCACCGTGCCCGGCCTTCTTGACGAAACTTACACTGTAGTGGGACACTATTGCAAGAGCTTTGGCCAATTTGATTTGGAAGGGTAGAGGTGAGGAGAGGAATATTGTCAAGAATGAACCCAAGCAAGAGTCAGAGGATGAGAAATAAACAAATAAATAAAAAAGGATGAACCCAAGGTTTCAAATGGGTCAACAGGGTTACCATTAACTGGAGATTAAATTAAAAGGCATGTTTAAGTCAGAAAATGAACTCAGTTTCTGAGTCACTGTGCTTGGCCGACAACTTATTTATTTATTTATTTATTTATTTATTTATTTATTGAGACAAAGTCTCACTGTGTCACCCAGGCTGGAGAGCAGTGGCGTGATTTCTGCTCACTGCAACCTCTGCCTCCTGGTTTCAAGCAATTCTCCTGCCTCAGCCTCCCAAATAGCTGGGATTACAGGCACATGCCACCACACCCGGCTAATTTTTTTTAGTACAGACAGGGTTTCACCATGTTGGCCAAGCTGGTCTCGAGCTCCTGACCTCAAGTGATCTGCCTACCTCAGCCTTCCAAAGTGCTGGGATTACAGATGTGAGCCACTGTGCCCGACCAGGCTGTCAACTTTTAAGATTTCTTTTTTGAGATGGAGTCTTGCTCTGTCACCCAGGCTGGAGTGCAATGGCACTATCTCAGCTCACTGCAACCTCCACTTCCCAGGTTCAAGTTATTCTCATGCCTCAGCCTCCTAAGTAGCTGGGATTACAGGTGTGCACCACCACACCCGGCTAATTTTTGTATTTTTTAGTAGAGATGGGGTTTTGCCATGTTGACCAGGCTGATCTCAAAATCCTGGCCTCAAGAGATCTGCCTGCCTTGGACCCCCAAAGTGCTGGGATTACAGGCATGAGCCATGGTGCTCAGCCGACTTTTAAGAAGATTTTAAATGTAATACTTAACTATATGCTATAAGTAAATGTTAAAACCTAATTCTTACAGTCTTTGGAATAAGCAACAAAATTGTTTTGAGCTTCATAAAATATGAGCCTAAATTTTTATCATTTTTCGCTTGTACAGGAAACATAAACTTAGGTATAATGTAACTTTGTTACATTTAATTAATGAAGGTTGCAACCTTATACTTTAAAAATTATACTATAGACGGCTGGGCACGGTGGCTCACGCCTGTAATCCCAGCACTTTGTGAGGCCAGGGCGGGCAGATCAAGAGATCGGGAGATCAAGATCATCCTGGCTAACACGGTGCAACCCCATCTCTACTAAAAATACAAAAAAAATTAGCCAGGGGTGGTGGTGGGCACCTGTAGTCCCAGCTACTCGGGAGGGCTGGAGACAGGAGAATCGGCACAACCCCAGAGGCGGACGCTTGGCAGTGGGGAGCCGAATCCGCACCAAACTGCACTCACAGCCCTGGGCGGACAGGACGCGGAGACGAACTCGCCGATCTCAAAAGTGATACGGCATATATGAATTATACGGGCGGCCGGCGCCGGGTAAGGGCACACCGAGCCAAGAGCGACACACTCAGCGGCTTTGGAGGCAGAAGTGTGGCCGAGCTCAACTTACCGCAGCTAGGCATCCAAAAAGGACGCGCCAGTTCCCGCGCAACCACACATACACACACACACATACCAACTATAGGCTCGGCCACAAGCGGTGGCTCACCCTGTAATTCTAGCACTTTGGGAGGCCGAGGCGGGTAGACTGGCCTGAGCTAAGGAGTTCGAGACCAGCCTGCAACATGGTGAAACCCATTCTACTAAAATACAAAAATTAGCCCAGGTGTGGTGGTGGTGGGCCTGTAGTCCCAGCTACTCGGGAGGCTGAGGCAGGAGAATTCCTAGAACCCAGGAGGCGGAGGTTGCAGTTAGCTGAGATCATGCGCCACTGGCACTCCAGGCCTGGTTACGGAGCAAGACCTCCATCTCTTAAAAAAAAAGAAAAAAAAATTATACTATAGGCTGGGTGCAGTGGCTCATGCCTGTAATCCCAGCACTTTAGGAGGGTTGAGGCCTGGGGCAACATGGCGAAACCCATCTCTACAAAAAAAAATAGAAAACTTAGCCCGGTGTGGGTGGGTTCACACAATGTAGTCCCAGCTACTCGGCGGCTAAGGTGGGTAGGAATTGCCTTGAGCTGGGCATGTAGACGACTGGCAGTAAACCCTGATCATGTGCCACTCCAGCCTGGGTGAAAGATTGGAGAACTCGTGTCTCCCCCAAAAAATAATAATAATGAAATAAAAATGATACTATAAAACGTCCAAAAAATAATAATAATGAAATAAAAATGATACTATAAAACCTGTCATAAACCTCATCGAAATTCAAAAATATGAAATTAGATCCTATGGAAAAAAAAAGAAATTAGATCCTATTTCACCTAGATGAAGTAGTGATCTATTTCCCTCTTACCAATACACAATTTCTCACTGAAAACCAAGCATCTTATGCCAGGTGCGGTGGCTCACACCTGTAATCCTAGCACTTTGGGAGGCCAAGGCAGGTGGATCAGCTGAGTTCAGGAGTTCGAGACCAGCCTGGCCAACATAGTAAAACCTCATCTGTACTAAAAGCACAAAAACGCTGGGTGTGGTGGCACATGCTTGTAATCCTAGCACTTTGGGAGGCCAAGGTGGGCAGATCACGAGGTCAGGAGTTCAAGACCAGTCTGGACAGCATAGTGAAACCCTGTCTCTACTAAAAATATGAAAATTAGCCGGGCGTGGTGGCAAGTGCCTATAATCCAAGCTACTCAGGAGGGAGAGGCAAGAGAATCACTTGAACCCGGGGGCGGAGATGGCACTGAGACGAGATGGTGTCACTTCACTCTAGCCTGGGCAAGAGCAAAATTCCGTCTAAAAAAAAAAAAGAAAGAAAGAAAATTAAGAATCTTTTGAATCTTTCAACCTGCCTTGATATCCTTCCGCAGTAAGTATAAATAACACTCTGCCCTTATATGATAGTTGTGATACTTTTCGAAGTACATCCACCAAACTATGAGCCCCTGAAAGGTAAGAACTGCTCTATTCCTCTCTATAGTTTTAGTGTCTCACACAACACCTAGGACATAGTACAAGCTCTATTCATATTTGAGGTAGCGAATGAATGACAAAGAGATAACAGGAAAACTGTCTGATCCAAAATCATCCCAAATAAGATACATGATTCTTATGTACAAAAGGAAGACTGATGATCTAGATGCACTAACTAAAGTAATAAAAAATAAAATGGGGTGGGTTTATGCTAAACTAAATACCATGAACAACCAGAAACCTGAGGCTTCAGGAATTCTGTTCCCAAGCAAATTGATGTGGTAATCACTGGAGTCTGGGCCTCCTCACTATCTCTGCAAGTGGAAGATGGTCTTTCATTGAAGGACACAGTTGGGAACAGGAAGACCTGAATTTCTGGCTCCAAACATGTCAGTGGGATGGGGAGGCAAAAGAAAAATAGTAAATTCCTCTTTATAGCCAAGCTGTAGGAGTCACAAAAACTCTCCTAAACACTTCTCAAATGGACTGGGAGTAGAATTTTTAAGAAGGCCTGGCATGGTGGCTCACACCTGTAATTCAAGCACTTTGGGAGGCCAAGGTAAGAGGATTGCTTGAGACTATGAGTTTGAGACAAGCCTAGGCAACATAGTGAGGCTCTGTCTCTACAAAAAATAAAAAAATTAGCCAGGCGGGGTGATGCATGTCTGTAGTCCTAACTACCCAGGAGGCGGAGGTAGGAGGATCACTTGAGCCCAGGAGATAGAGGTTGCAGTGAGCCACGATCATGCCACTGCACTCCAACCTGGGTGACAGAGCAAGACGCTGTCTCAAAAAAAAAAAATTATTTATGAGATCCTAGGAAATATTTCTTTAGCAGAAATATATCCCCTATGCTTTCTAAAATCCCACCAGGGAAAGTATTTTATTTGTTTTGATTAGCAATATATGGTCCCTTCCAGCTCTAATTGACACTAATAATTAGTGTCAATGAATGCTAACCGCTTCTCCCACCCCTATGATCACATTATTTAAGAGGCTTGCTAACCAAAATATATCTACAATGTTTAAAGTCCCAGTTACTATTGCTAAGTGCAGCAGATTTTCCATCATATGATGCATTAGATATACTTGCCCTAATACTTAGATCGAGGACTGCATACTCAAGCATTTAGGGTCAGGTAATGTAAATGTAATGTAAGGTAATGTTATGTAATATAATTGGCAGGTAATGTAAATGAGTATATGACTTGTTTAAAACAACAGGGAATCTCAGAGACTATGTCAAATGGAGAGCATGTGACCTGCCTGTCTGTGGGGCAGCCACTATTTAGTTCCAGTGTATTGTTCCAATGCAAAAATGTGAACCTTTAGGTACAATACACACTATTTGGTTGACAGGTACACTAAAAACCCAGACAGACTTCACCATTTTACAATTCATCCATGTAACCAAAAACTACTTGGTACCCCTAAAGCTATTGAAATAAAAATAATTTCTTTAAAAAAGTGAACCCAGATTTTGCCTAGATTTTCCAATTTTTCAAGAGAGGATGTAAATCAATATTTTAATGTAAACTGTACCAATTTTTAAGTATGCCTGTGGCTAAAAGTGTCTTTTTTTTTTTTTTTTGACACAGAGTCTCACTCTGTCACTTAGGCTGGAGTGCAGTGGTACAAGCATGGTGCACTGCAGCCTCAGCCTCCTGAGCTCAAGCGATCCTCCCGCCCCAGCCTCCCAGGTAGCTGGGACTACAGGCATGCACCACCACATCTGGCTAATTTTTAAATTTTTTGTAGAGATGGGGGTGGGTCTCACTATGTTGCCAGGACTGGCCCCGAACTCCTGGGCTCAAGGGATCTTCTCGCCTCAGCCTCCCAAAGTGCTGGGAATTCAGGCATGAGCCACCATGCCCAGCCCCAAAAGTATCTTTTTGGTTTTTGATTTTTTTTTTTTACCTTTTTTCCTACACTTGGTAATCAGGAAGTAAAAGGTGTCTTTTTGACTGTCGACTTTTTGACTGCCATAGCCTTAGTCTAAATGAACAGACAACACTGAGAAATGGAAAGGGTCAAAGGGGAGGCCTATTTTGGCCAGAAAGAGTGAAGCAGAGTCAAAGGGGAAGAAAAGACAGGGAAGAGGCCCAGGATGGATGGTGAGAAGTGAATTTCACCAACCTCGACACCTCGCATAGGGAGCCCCAATCTGCTTGTCTCCTAATCTAAGAGTAAAAAGGAGGAGATGTCAAGAAGGAAATAAAGGAGGAAGAAAAAGAATCACCTGTTGAGCAGTTACTGGATGACAGACACTGCATGGGATGCTTTCACATGTTGTTTTATTGAGATATGCCAATGCAAAAAGAAAGAATTCTATGCATGGGGAAAAGACTAAAAGGAAATACATCAAAATCCTAACAGTAAGGGTGTCAGATTACAAGAGCCCCTTTTTCCATTCTCCATAATTTTTAACCATAAATATAATATGGTGTATTAACATTATAATACAAATTAAACTAAAATTTAAGGTGGATTTATGGGTACAAATCCACCCACCCTAGAATATAGAAAGTAAACTACTATAAATTAAGCCAAACTATACACTGAATATTTAAACAGAAAAGGAAAATGTAGCCATTTCAAATGTATATAATATGTAACTATGCAATTATAAACCCAGAAAGAGAACATGAAAGAAACTACACAGGTGATATGGACCACAGATTGATTAAGAACAGAAATGTGAAATTGTTAGGAATGTTATAAATCATTTTCTCTCCATATTATAAACTACCAAGATGTTCTCTGTGTGTGTGGCCTATAAAACTATAAAATATACTAAAAGTCCTCTCTTCTATAAAAACATTTAGACTTTTACCTGTTACATACTTTTCCACATTCACTGCATTATTTTCTTTCTTTTAGGTGTGTACAACTCTCATATTTAAATAATCCCCCCCTTTTTTTTTGGTCTTTTAGAGCATTTCAAAGATAACAGGTATTTTTTTTTTAATAAATGAAATATGTCATTATAGGCCGCTCGTATTCTAAGCAGTCTGAATCCCCAATTAATCTCTTCCAAATATGCATATTTAGTTTTCATTCTGCTCAAAAATGAAACCCTAACCTAAATACTCCAAGTGAAATTTCAGGGGAAAAATACTGTTCAAAAACCTAGATAATGCATTCCTTTGTTGATGCTAAATATAGTCATCTCAAGATGACATACATTTTGACAATGATCAGCCTTACATGTCAAATTTTCAAAAATAGCACAAATTCCATTTTAAGATGAGCAGGAAAAATTGCTATTCATTACATTTCAATCGAAAATGGATTTTAAAGTATAAATCTTCTATTAAAACTGGATTACATTATAACTATAATGAGGAAAACTGGATTTAAAATAATTTTGTTGTGGTTTTAGCTTAGAATTCTTTGAGGGAATTGTTGCAGATAAACTACATAATTGCATGCATTTTTCTTTAAATTGTCCCTCAGAAGTATTAGTCAAAATATAAAATATCTGCAAAAATACGGTGTTAATTGCTGGAAGGAAGAAGAAACTTAAACAGCTACATTGGTTAGTCAAAGTTTACTTATACAAATTATACCTCCCCCCAAAAAAACCTTTCTCTCATTTGATTAATTATGCAGTTTTTCTTAACAATACTCCAAACTCAAAAGAATTCGAGACAGTTTTCTTACTGCATCAATTTAACCTGTAAAAGGATAATAGAGGGGGAAATTATGTGGTCCACTCAATAACATGTGACTAAGATGGTATAAATACTTAAGTTTATTTTATCACATTACCTAAGACATAGTTATGTTGTGACTCGCAGGCCAATGGGCCGCTGCTACATGAATTCATTAATAAAATTTAACGATGAATGATGTTCCTGTTGCTTTGGTCAGGGAACTGATTTCTTTATTATGGCTTCTTTTCTCTACCTGTGTCTTTACCAAGGACATTTTGTTAGGACTTATCCTTATGCTATTTTTACCTTGTTATCTCTCTGCCAACTTCGTTCACGTTGTGCTTTAATAACTATAAAATGAGTATCTCTAAGTCATTGCAGTAACCAACTATAACCTCTCAACTTCGTCATTTTCTTTATAAATGCCAATGCTAATGCATTTGTAGAACGTTTCACAGTTTACAAACAGCTGGAATGGTTTGGCTTTTTCAAAAGCATATAAGCAAGGGGAATTCTCAAGAGGTGACTACACTCTTCACTCACGTAAACTACGTAAACTTCGTAAACTTCCAGCCCTAGTTGCCCAACCCCCAGCATCCCACCGCGGGGAGAATCACGAAAAAAAAAAAAACGCGTTGGAGACAGGAGTAGGGGGATATGCGGGGGTGTCGGGGGAGTAATAGGCTGTTAAATCGTATTTCTTCCCATCTTCCACAGGGACTGATCAGAAAGAATTTCTTAACTGGCACTGCTGGCAGAGACGGAGACCGCGGCGGGGGCACGTGGTGGACGGCACCGAACTTCCCTAAGGACCCCAAGAGTTCAGCCGAGGGACCGGCACCTACTCGGCTCACAGAGGGCTCCCTCCCTACAGTACGGAACGCACCTGAAACTCAGCCGACAAGGCGCAGGGGAGCAGGGCAAAGACATCGCAACTAGAAGCCCGAGGTCGGCTGAGGCTTTCAGACACTGGGGCAGCCCCTGTTCGGCACCCCGCCTAGCCCGCAGGACGCGGCTCGGAGGCCGGGTTCGCCCGGGCCGGGGCCAGTGCGGAGCCACAGCTGTATGGCGCCCGGCGCACTCCCGTGCTGCAGCGGAGCATCGCCAGAAGCCGCGGACCCCGAGCGCCTCTCTGCAGCCGCTGCAGCCGCCGCTCCCGCCCCCGCCAGGGGACCCTACACCTCAGTCTCCACTCCCCGTAGCCCACGTTCCCCAACTCTTCTCACCCTCCAGGAGCCGGTGACCCGCGAAGGTCCTTCTTTTCGCGCGGAGGGACTGTGCGCGTCCTGCCTAGCTGTGGGTAAGGGTCTGGGAGCTCTGGCCGTTACACTTCTGCTCCAGCCGCTGGGAGTCCTCTGGCTGCCGCTGCCGCCGCCGCCGCCGCCGCCGCCGTCTCCAGCAGCAAGTTTCCATAAAAGTCCTGGTGCGCAGCCTGTTCCCGCATTCCAGGCGGGCCCAGCGCCGGCTGCAGCTGTTCCAAAACACAAGGCCAGTTCCCCCAACCCCCACCTCCGCCGGATCACCCGGAGGGGGGTGGAGAGTCGAGGAGAAAAGCAGGGGACGGGGAGCGTGGCTGCAACTTTCCGCCAGAATTTGTCTGTCTCCCGGCCCTAGGTGCGCGGGCTGACCCCCTAACCTTGGGCCTGCCTCCACCTCCAGCCTGGGGAAGGAAGGCTGCCTCTGCCACGGGAAAGGAATGAGGCTGAAATGGGCTTCATTACCGGTCTGGAGCTGGCTCCCCCTACCCGCAACCCGTTTGCTGTGGGGCCCACTTCTCTCAGCTACTCTACCCGTCCTAGTTTCCAGTCAAGAAGCCAAGCCACTACATTATCTTCTACTACCCTAAGCATTGACCTTTGGCCACGTTTTCCTTTATTACAAAGAGCGTGGGGCAGCGATCCGGGAACACTTCATCTGTCTATTGCTCCCCTTTTCTTAGCTCCAGTCTTTAACTCTGAAAGGAGAGTTAAAAGGAAGAAGAAAGAAGAGAAGGAGGAGATCAATTGAAGGCAGAGGAGGAGGAGAAGAAAAAAAGGAATATATTTATATAAGTACAAATATATTTATATTCCACCTTTTTGTTAATTGAAGGCAAACCATGTCTGGTCTTCCTAAAGCTTCATAAAGGCATCTTTGACTATTAGGCACCCACAGACCTTTTTCAACTTGGACCGCCAGCCTGTCAAATCCATTAGACAATCCCATATTAAAACCCGAAATGCACACTCAGAGGGAGCATTTTTGGTGGACGAGATCTTTAATTCTTTACTGCACTTGAAAACAAAATCGAAATGACATCCAGATAAACAAAGAATAAAAGTAACCACTTCCAACTTCAGGCCTCAAGACAGCGGTGCTCAGGTTATATTTCAGGGATGTTGAAAAGGCCTTCTGGGCTGGGCGCGGTGGCTCATACCTGTAATGGCAGCACTTTGGGAGACGGAGGCGGGTGGATCACTTGAGGTCGGGAATCCAACACCAGCCTGCCCAACATGGCAAAAGACCATCTTTACTAAAAATACAAAAAATTAGCCGAGTGTGGTGGCACACGCCTGTAATCTCAGTTACTCAGGAGGCTGAGGCAGGAGAATCACTTGAAGCCAGGAGGCAAAGGTTGCAGTGAGCCGAGATCGTGCCACTGCACTCCAGTCTGGGTGACAAAGTGAGACTCCGTCTCCAAAAAAAAAAAAGGCCGGGCACCGTGGCTCATGCCTGTAATCCCAGCACTTTGAGAGGCCGAGGTGGGTGGATCACCTGAGGTCAGGAGTTTGTGACCAACCTGGCCAACATGGTGAAACTCTGCCTCTACTAAAAATACAAAAAATTAGCCGGGCGTGTGGCGTGCGCCTGTGATCCCAGCTACCTGGGAGGCTGAAGTAGAAGAACCCACTTCACTTGAACCTGGGAGGCTGAGGTTGCAGTGAGCCAAGATCCCGCCATTGCACTCCAGCCTGAGCAACAAGAGTGAAACTCCCTCTCTCTCTCTCTCTCTGTCTCTCTCTCTCTCTGTGTGTATGTCTCTCTCTCTCTCTCTCTCTCACACACACACACACACACACACAAAAAAAAGAGGTCTTCTACTCTTAAACATAACTCTGTTCCCCAGTCCCATCCCCACACTATTTACTCAGGATGGAAACTCTTTTAAGGAGGGTAAGCCAGCCATTCATTCCTCAATGATAGAAAAGTTCAAAATTGGTAATTACAATTATTTAAATGTACCAAACTACAGATGGTGATAGGTGGTCTCGGTAGTCTTGCTTGTGCCCTTGCTCTCTCTGATGCCATCACATTGGCCTTCTTCAGTTCATGCAACTTTCTGTGGGCATTCTGGCTGCAGGGCCTTTGCATAAGTTGTTCCCTGCATGAAATCCTTTCTCCCACTTTCCCCTTCACCTAACTTCAACATAACCTCCAGGTCTCTTCTTAAATGCTGCTTCCTTGAAGAAGGCTTCCTTGCACCCCACCTTTCTCCCCACCTTGCACCTCACCTTTCATCTCACCTTTCTCTTCCCTATACATACCTATCCCTGCCCCATACATATCAATTTATAATTACATTTTTATTTCTGTGATTTAAAGAAGTGAGTTGGCTGGGCATGGCGGCTCACACCTTTAATCCCAGCACTTTGGGAGGCTGAAGTAGGTGGATCAACTGAGGTCAGGAGTTTGAGACCAGCCTGGCCAACATGGTGAAACCCTGTGTCTACTAAAAATATAAAAATTAGCTGAGTGTGGTAGCGTGCGTCTGTAGTCCCAGCTACTCGGGAGGCCGAGGCAGGAGAATTGCTTGAACCCAGGAGGAAGAGGTTGCAGTGAGCAGAGATCACGCCACTGGACTCCAGCCTGGGTGACAGAGTGAGACTCTATCTCGAAACATAATAAATAAATAAATAAGTAGAAACTTTCCAATTTTTTATTTTTTTATTCCACCCAACAGATTCACCAGATTAAACAAAGCTCTCCGTTCTCTCTGTCGAACGCTGATAGCTACTCAGCATGCAAGGCGTGCTTATTTTCCCACCAATTCATCATTCATTCATTCAACACATATTCAGTTCTAGATGCTAAGAATATAACAGTGATAAAAGAAAAATCCCTGACATTATGGAACATACATTCTAGTGAAAGAAGGCAGACAATAAGCAAATAAATGAATTATGTAGTATTTAGTGACATATAATATGGCAATATGGATAAAACCAGAGCAGGGAAGTAGAGAATGCTGGAAGCAGGCTGAGTAGATGTAATTTTAGATAGAGTGGCTAAGGAAAGCCTCATATGAGTAAAAGCCTTGAGGAGAATGAGGCAGTAGGCTATGTAAATATCTGGAGATGCAAATATTTGGAGGAAGAGTGGTTCAGGGATAGATACAAAGGCCCAGAGAAGGATTCTATCTGACATGTTCTAGGAAGAACCAGGAGGCTTGTGTGAGTGAAGCTAAGTAGGTGAAGGGTGAAGTAATAGGAGGTGCAGTGGGGGAGCAGCAGAAGACAGACTATGTAGGATTTGTTTGTTTGTTTGTTTGAGAAGTCTCACTCTGTCGTCCAGGCTGGAGTGCAGTAGCATGATCTCTGCTCACTGCAACCTCCGCCTCCTGGGTTCAAGCGATTCTCTTCCCTCACACTCCTGAGTAGCTGGGATTACAGGTGCCTGCCACCATACCCGGCTAATTTTTGTATTTTTAATAGAGATGGGGTTTCACCATGTTGACCAGGCTGGTCTCAAACTCCTGACCTCAGGTGATGCACCCACCTCAGCCTCCTAAAGTGCTGGGATCACAGGCGTGAGCCACCGCCCCTGGCCTTTTTTTTTTTTTTTTTTAGGAGACCCAGGCTGGAGTGCAGTGGTGGAATCACAGCTCACCATAGCCTCTAACTTCTGGGCTCAAGCAATCCTCCTGCCTTTGCTTCTCTGAGTAGCTGGGACTATAGGCATGCAACAACACACCTGGCTGATTTTTTAGTTTTTGTAGAAATAGGGTCTTATTATGTTGCCTGGATTGGTCTCAAACTCCTGGGCTCAAGCATCCTCCCACTTCGGCCTCCCAAAGAGTAGGGATTATAGGCATGAGCCACTGTGCCCAGCCTCTTTTTGTACAGCATTGTAAAGATTTTGGTTTTTACTCTAACATGGGTGGCCTTTGGTAGGTTTTGAACAACATAGTGACATGATCTGACATGTTTACTCTCTCTAGCTTATGTGCTGCACTTACACTAAATAAGGCAAGAGAAGAAGCAGGGAGATCAATTAATTAGGAGGCTTCCACAATAATCAGAATGAGGAATGGGGATTGGGCCAAAGTGATAGTTGTGAAGGTAGTGAGAAATACCTGGTATATATATTTTTTCCTTGTTGCCTTTTTAGGTAGAACTGGTAGGATTTTGGTTACTGAATGTGAGGTGTGAGGAAAGGAGGTTTTTGGCCTTTGATCTGGAAGAATGGAATTGTAATTTACTCAGATAGGGAAGACTGTGGGAAGAGTAGGTTTAGGCAGGGGTGGTAAGGAGCTCAGTTTTGACATGCTAAGTTTGAGATTACTAAAAATCCAAGATTTGCCAATTTGTATAAGCATTACTTGTATACTTACCACGAATGATTGAGTTTGTTCTATGTCAGTTGCATGGCTTTGAAATTATACAAAGTAAACATTTAAAAAATGAAATTATAGGCCAGGCACGGTGGCTCACACCTGTAAGCCCAGCACTGTGGGAGGCCAAGGTGGGCGGATCACCTGAGGTCAGGAGTTCGAGACCAGCCTGGCCATGATGGCAAAACCCTGTCTCTACTAAAAACACAAAAATTAGCTGGGCGTGCTGGTGCATGCCTGTAATCCCAGCTACCTGGGAGGCTGAGGCAGGAGAATCACTTGAACCCAGGAGGCAGAGGCTGCAGTGAGCCGAGATAGTGCCAAAAAAAAAAAAAAAAAGAAAAGAAATTATAAAAGCAAAAATAAAGTTATAGTTTTTTATAAAAGCTGAGCTGAATGCTTTGAAAAAACTTGATAAAGGCAAATGGCTTACAAAAATTACCACCAAGCTAGGTGTGGAGAAGATAAATGGAAAAGATTGGGTACAAAATTGTACAAATCTAGGGAGATTCTGCAGTCAATGCTTTTCATGTACCTTTTCTCTCCTTTAAAAGTAAGGAAAACTTGGCTGGGCACGGTGGCTCAAGCCTGTAATCCCAGCACTTTGGGAGGCCGAGACGGGCGGATCACGAGGTCAGGAGATCGAGACCATCCTGGCTAACATGGTGAAACCCCGTCTCTACTAAAAAATACAAAAAAACTAGCCAGGCAAGGTGGTGGGCGCCTGTAGTCCCAGCTAGTCGGGAGGCTGAGGCCGGAGAATGGCGTAAACCCGGGAGGCGGAGCCGGCCACTGCACTCCAGCTTGGGCAACAGAGCCAGACTCTGTCTCAAAAAAAAAAAAAAAGTAAGGAAAACTCGAAATTCCAGATGATGATTTAGGGCAGGGGTCCCCAAACCCCAGGCTGCACAGCAGGAGGTGAGGGCCGGCGAGTGAGCATTACCACCTGAGCTCTGCCGCCTGTCAGATCAACGATGGCATTAGATTCTCATAGGAGCGCAAACCCTGTTATGAACTTGCATGTAAGGAATCTAGGTTGTGCATTCTTTATGAGAATATAATCCCTGATGATCTGTGGTAGACCAATTTCATCCCAAAACTATCCACCACACCCACCCCCGCACTGTCCATGGAAAAATTGTCTTCCCCAAAAGTGGCCCCTGGTGCCAAAAAGTTTGGGGACCACTGATTTAGCGGTTTAGTTTATGTAACAAAGATATCTTGAAATATAGAGTGAATCCATACTCCCAACTAAAGGCCTTGGTATATCAAAAGATTGACCAAAGAATGTACATTCATTCACTCATTAAAATTAAAATGTCAACGAGGCATGGTGGCTCAAGCCTATAATCCCAGAACTTTGGGAGGCTGAGGTGGGAGGATCACTTGAGGACAGGAATTCAAGACCAGCCTGGGAAACATACCAAGACCTCATCTCTACTAAACAGTAAAAATAAGCCAGGTGTGGTGGCATGTGGCTGTAGCCCCAGCTACTCAGGAGGCTGAGGCAGGAGAATCACTTGAGCCCAGGAGTTAGAAGTTGCAGTGAGAACCACTGCACTCCAGCCTGGGTTAGAGAGAGAAAAACCTTGTCTCGCTCTTAAAAAAAAAAAAAAAAAAATTGTCTATATCATTATGTAT